AAAATAATTAAAAATCAGAGGAAACACAAAAGATTTTGCCTTGGTAACTAAAACTAGAGCTGCACAAGGGAGAGCAGATCAAGTGCTCCATGCCATCATTTCCGAGTCACAATATTTTTTCTGTGATGAGTCATAATCCCTAGTGTCCATTCTGGGAAGTCCTTGGAGAGTCCAAATGGCAAATAAGGGAGATCTTGCCTGGGTACTCTGACTGAAGCCTAACTGAAAGTATTTGATATTTTCTGGCAAAATACATCTATTCAAAGCTCTCAGCAGTTTGGGTGTTTGAGAAGATACTAAAATGCACAGAGAAAACAGGAAAATATTATTGAATTATTTTTAATTGAAAACTAGAAATTTTTGGTGCCTGTGTTTAAAAGCCTTCATTCGCTTTGAAAGTAAATACAACAGAGTTAGGATTCCTATGAAGAACTCATCTCTTATTTAACTTGGAATCATAGAATAAAATCATGGAATCATTAAGGTTGGAGAAGACAGATATTTCACAGAGTATTCTGAGTTGGAAGGGACCCTCCAAGACAATAGAGTCCAATCTTTGACCAAACACCACCATGTCAACTAAACCAAAGCACTCAGTGCCACGCCCAAAGCACTAAGTGCCACCCCTCTGGCCAATCCATTCCAACACTTAATCACCCTTTCCGTGAAGAAATTCCTCATAATGTCCAACCTTAACCTCCACTGATGCAGCTTGAAGCCATTTCCTCTCATCCTGTCACCAGTTGCCTGGGAGAAGAGGTTGAACCCCAGCTTACTACAGCCTCCTTTCAGGTAGTTACAGAGAATGATAAGGTTTCCCCTGAGCCTCCTCTTCTCCAGGCTAAACAACCCCAACTCCCTCAGCCCCTCCTCATAGGACCTACTCTCTAGACCCTCACCCAGCTCTGTTGACCGTCTCTGGACTCGCTCCAGCACCTCAATATCTTTCCTGTAGCGAGGGGCCCAGAACTGGACACAGCACTGGAGGTGTGGCCTCACCAGTGCCAAGTACAAGGGGACAATCACTTCCCTAGTCCTGCTGGCCACACTATTGCTTATACAAGCCAGGATGATATTGGTCTTCTGGGCCACACTGCTGGCTCATGTTCAGCCACCTATAAACTAGCACCCCCAGGTCTTTTTCTGTCGGGCAGCTTTCCAGCCACTCTATCCCCCAGCCTGTCACATTCCATGGGGTTGTTGTGACCCAAGTGCAGGACTTAGCACTTCACCAAGTACGGAATCTCATACTGCTGGTCTCGGCCCATCTATCCAGCCTGCCCAGATCCTTCTGCAGAGCCTTTCTACCCTCCAGCAGATCAACACTCCCACCCAACTTGGTTCTGTCCACAAATTTAATGAGGGTACACTCGATCCCCTCATCAATAAACATATTGAACAGGACTGGCCCCGATGCTGAACCCTGGGGGACCCCCCGGTTGACCAGCCACCCACTGGTACCATTCACCTCTACTGTTCGGGCCCAGTCATCCAGTCAGTTCTTAATCCAGCAAAGAGTGCCCCTGTCCAAGCCATGGGATGCCAGCTTTTCCAGAAGAATGCTGTGGGAGACAGTATTAAAGATTTTACTGAAGTCTAGGAAAACTGTATCCACAGATTTTCCCTTGTCCACTAGGCTGGTCACTTGGTCATAAGAAAAGATTAGGTTGGTCAAGTAGTACCTGCCTTTCCTAAACCCATCCTGAGTGGGTCTGATGCTCTGGTTGTCCTGTATGTGCTGTGTGATTGCACTCAGGATAATCTGTTCCATAACCTTCCTGGGCTCCAAGGTCAGGCTGACAGGGCTGTAGTTCCTTGGATCCTCCTTCTGACTCTTCTTGTTGATGGGTCTCACATTGTTCAACTTTCAGTCACCTGGGACCTCCCCAGTTAACCAGAACTGATGAAAAATGATGGAGAGTGGCTTTTCAAGCTCTTCCACCAGCTCCCTCAGCACCCTCAGGTGAACACTATCTGGCCCCATTGACTTGTGAGTGGCTCAGCAGGTCACTGATGACTCCTTCCTGCTCCCCAGTTTATTCTGCTCCCCATCCCTTTCTGCCACCTCAGGGCTGGTTGCCCTGAGCATAACCTGTCTTTCAGTTAAAGACTGAGGCAAAGAAGGCATTAAGTATGCCAGTGTTTACTTCATCCTTGGTGACAATGTTCCCACCCTGCATCCAATAAAGGATGGAGATTTTCCTTGGCCCTACTTTTGTTGTTAATGTATTTATAAAAATACTTTTTATTGTCTTTCACAGCAGTAGCCAGATTGAGTTCTACCTGAGCTTTCACCTTTCTAATTTTCTTTCTACATGTTCTAACGACATCCTCGTATTCTTCCTGAGTTGCCTGCCCCTTCTTTCAGAGGTCACAAACTCTGTTTTTTCCCTGGGTTCCTGTGAAAGCTCCCTGTTCAGCCAAGCAGGTCTTATTCCCTGACAGCTTGCCTTTTGACCCATAGGGATGATCTGCTCCTATGCCTTTAAGATTTCCTTCTTAAAGTATGTCCAGCCTTCCAGGACCCCTTTGCTATTAAGGACCACTTCCTGAGGGACTTTCTGAACCATTGTCCTAAACAGGCCAAATTCTGCCCTCCCAAAGTCCAAGGTAGTGGTTTTGTTCACCTCCTTCCATACTTCACCAAAAATCAAAAACTCTATATGGTCACTATGCCCAGGACAGCCTCTGACCACCATGTTCCAACTTGTAATCAACCAGCCCATCCCTGAAAAATGATTCCAAAGACTACCATTTCCCTCCAAATTCTGGGCTTTAAAACCTACCCTGTTCTCAGAAACACACTTAGGAACGATTTATTAGCGAAAAAAATTGTGGGTACAGATATGTCAGACTGCACAAGATACTGGTTTTTCTTCATTAATATTTCTTCAGTAATGCATTCAGGAAATATTGTCACTTCATTTTTATTCTATTTAGTTCTAGGTGAGCACATATATATACTATGTTGAAGTAACCAATTTGTGTACATCAGGCTATCTACATTTTACCATATGGAGGTACCACAATATTAATATGTTTTCCTTAAATAGGCTACAGTTTGCTTAATCTTTCTTTCTGTGCATGATCTTGCAAGAGTAAAAAGGCTTTCATACAAAGGCTGTGTTTTTATATGCAAATCTATTATTTGATTACCCACTTTTTTGTCCCTACATTATCATGAATATTTCTGATGAATGTTTTATGGGTTAGGTTTAGGATTTGTGAGCTATTTCAAATTTTATCTGTTTGCCATATCATCTGCAAATACTGCATCTTTGTTGATGTTGATTGGTCTCATTTACATATTTATCACAATTTTATTTTCAAGGATGTTTTGCTATAAACTGTCTGTCCCCATTTCTCTTCCATGTACTACTAGTAGGTGGATGTATTTTCAAATTGAGTCCATTACCATATATAATTTTTTTGGTTAACAATAAATCACCACTTAGAGACAATCTATTCAATGCCTTCATACCTATCTGACATATGGTTTCTGAGTAATTAAAGATAATAGAAGCAGTTTACAATGCACTTTGCAACTCAATTCATAGACCAGAGAGCTCAATGATTTTCCATAAGGACTAGGCTAAAAGGAACTCTACAGGACTGGGGAGAAACAAGTGCCAACAAAACTGGCAACACAGAAGTGATCTTAGCCCTAACTAGGACTTTTCTTTTATCAAGAAAAATGACCTTTTACAGTGGTGCTTGCTGGGTTTATGAGAGGCTGGATCCATAAGTGGGAAGATTTTTAGTTTGTACGTGCAAAGAGAAGACTCCTGAACCTACAGTGATATTCTGAAATGGATCTCCTATTTCAGAAAAGGCCAGATGCCATGTGAGTTTTACCACTTGCTACTGATAGCAGCTCTTCAATCCTTGCATGTTCACTGTTTGTTCTTCCTCCATCCATTCATCCATTTATCCATCCATCCATCCATCCATCCATCCTTCTCCAAGTTCAAAATGCTTTCACTTGACCATACCTTCTGGTGTATTCAATTTCTTGCTAAATTGCTTACTTATGCAAGAGTACAAGGGAAAAGGGTAGAAAGGGTGCAGAGAACTGTCCTTTTGACCTTTGCCATTACACACACAGCACTGAAAAGGACACAGAATTGTATGTGCCCCACTCCCACCCAGACTCCTCTTGGGTGAACAACCTGTTTGTGATCCTCTCCTCTCACAGTGCAAGTACTGGCTCTGTTTCTAAGCAAAATGTTATTTGCCCATATATGAAATAATTCAGAAAAATCGTACATGCCCAAGAATAGTTCAGGTTGGACAGTGATGGTTATAATTTCTGGTGCTAGCACCACATAATCCATAGATTTTCTGTTGTAAAGAACAGCTGGAAAAAACATATTAATAAGGGTAATAATAATAAAAAATAAGGTAATAATCCTTCTAGTGGTGGAGCTGCAACACATCCACAATAGCATACAAGTGAATGTATGATACATTTGGTTCATCAGAGATGTTCATAATTGTATCTCCAAGTTTATCACTAAAATTCACAGAAATCAGGTGCTTACCTCTTTGTGTGCTAAAATTTTTGGATCTATCACCCATAAGAAACTTCTCTCACACATCTTGCCAGCTGACTCCGAACATGCACAAAACAATCCTATTTATTCATTAGTGAAAAAGGAATTGGCTGACCTGTTCTTAACAAGAGTGCTTTCCTCCCTAATATTTCCACTGTTTCATTCCAAAACTCTCAAAATAATCAGTTTCCTGTGATCTTCTGTTATGGCACTGTATTTATTAACTGTAATGACACTCCATGTTCAACCAGTCCTTTGACTGAAGACTGCCCATTTGCTAATATGAAAATGTATTTATGACAACATTGTTCTGAAACATGTGGTGTTAATAGAAAAAGTTTCTATTTTTTTTTTAAACCCAAAGATGAAATATATGAAGCTCAGAGATAGGGACCTGCAACCAGAAACTGCTGCTTGGAGTAAAATAGTTGTTGACATAATACGTACATTTTCTCTAGGTCAAGAAGTCCTGCAAAAGCTCCTTTTGGAACGACTCTCATCTTGGTGAGGACAAATCTCCTGAAAATAGAGAAAATTGGGTGATTATTCTCTATTCACAGCACAGGACTGCACAGTAGCCTTGGTAGCGCAGGAGAGGCCTTTATCACTGGTACAATGATAGTCTCTGGGCTGAAAGCTTTGGCATCTAAATACAGCTGTAACATTCAAAGCATTTGTGGGACTCCAACCGCCCTGACCAAAATTACAGCATGGTGTTGGATGACCACTGGGGCTCCTCAGGGGAAAAAGCATCCATCAGTAGTTGCCACTTCCCTATTTCTTTCAGTGAGAAATCCAGACCTGCAGCTCCTCTGTGTACTGGGAGTGAACAGTGCCTTTCTCATCTCGACTGCTCTTTTGAGTGATGCTCCAGCATAGGATGAAGGCTCCCTGTGGACCCAGATGGAGGTGAGTTGCTTACAAGGCTGTAAGGTGGTACATCCACACTCATGCAGGATGAACCTTAACCTGCTGCACAGATAACTTAAGGAGTCAGCTACTATCTCCCATCAGTGCAACTTTATTAACTTTATTGCTTCTCACAGTCTATCTTCTAATTAGTTGAAAATGTGCACCAAAATTGGGACTTTGGAGTACACAACTCGATCATAAATGCCCCAGGACTGCATTTTTATCATTTTTAAAGGTCACAGAATATATCTGATTAGGAAAAATTGTTTAAAATATCATATAAACCTTTTTGTCAAATTGGAGTTTTCTCCTTTAATGACAGTAAACAAAGAGGACTAGAAAACTTCTGATGACACTAAACAAATGAAAGGTAGGATTTGTACTACTCTACGGAGAAATAAGGTGTTATCTAGGTAATTGTCTTCTTTCACACATTTAATCATTCATGGGTAGTGAGAACAAACAATTGTATATATTAACATGACCTGCTCATTGCAAGACATCATATAACACTGGTTGCATTGACTGACAGTTGTTAAAAAATATTTTTTCTTTAAAAAAACCAACAAACCCACCTTTGTTACATACATGAACACGTTATATACATGCATACATACACACATTGCACTCTGCGATTCACCTTCTTGGTCTGTTTTCCCACAGAAATGAAAATGACTTTTTTTCCGAATTACTATGGAAGTCTTTTTTTCAGTGAGCATGTCTTCCAGATCACTCCAAATTGTTATTGTCTCAGAACTGTTTTTGCATGGCTGTCTGGAATTGCCTTTCATCTCCTGTCTATGCTGCCTCATTGTAAGGTCTGCAGGGGGACAGAAAGGGGAACTCAGCCTGGTATGGCCTGCTGTGCAGTCCTGCAAATTTTAACACAATGCTCAAAACAAGAGACTTTCTTACTGTTCACATAAAGTATTCATGCAATCCTCATCTATGTTTTATTTCAAATGATTAGCTTAGAATTTTCATGGGAGATTATCAAGTTTTAATCAAAGTTCTAGGGGAAAAAGTATTACTCTGACAGAGTACTAATGTGAAAGGTTCCCATTTTTTAATTGTAGGTCTTTAGTAGAATCTACCCCCTCATGAGTTAATATTTACTTAAGCAGGACAAAGTCAATGCACACCTCACCTAGCTCTAGAGATGTCACTGTGATCACACCAGGAGCGAACTTGGCCCTACACTTTTTTTAAACATTGAAATTTATGGTATTCTCAGTCCTCAAAGACGATGAAGTCAATTTGGTATTTCATTATTCTTGTACTATCATTAATGTAAATCAGAAAGAGCTTCAACATACTGTCACACAAGAATTACAGTATTGAGATCATTATGCAAATGTTAGAAGGATAAAAGAGCTTCCCAGAAAAGGCCTATCCTGGATTAGGCAATTTGTAAAACCCTACTGAAAACAGGGCTGGTGTAATGCATGCAAAGCTACGGCTGTGCTTTCGGAGCAGTTAGACACAATGGATCCTTGCAGAACACCCAGCAGGCTTAGTGCTACAAAGCTGAACCATCAGGAAGCTCTTTAACTTTGATCTGCTTTGAAATCTTTCTCAAACTCTGTTTTGTAGAAATGCACGCCTAATTTCTGAGCCCTAGAAAGCAGGCTTTGTCTGAAAAGCCATCTATCATTTTTTTATGGCACTGTGCTAAAATGAATCCTCTCTCTGCATGCTTGGGTCATCAGGACATTTGCAATTTTTTAATTAAATACTGGCCTATGCCATCCTTCACCACAACAAGAAATTACATTCTGATACCGAAACGAATGGAAGGAAGGGAACCTCATTCATTAATGGGGTTACTTATATGAGAAAAGCCACATCTGCATAGAATTAAAAATCAGACCTTGAGTTTCTTTGTTGAAGACCCTGATATCCTGCATTAATAAGGCGCCAGAATTCAGGAGCCACGTGTCTGATGCCCTGGGGCAGTTAAAGTAGAATTGAAATTTAATAGCTGAAATCTCACATTTCACTTAAAAAAATTAAGGTTAATTGTTTTTAAACATCTCTGAGTAGGCTAATAAAGTCAGTGTTAATGGTATAACGAACATTGAAAATTAGAATCAGCTACTTGTTGAATTATCAACTGTATAATGAATAGGAGTCTATTATAACTAGCCAAATGCTGTATTGTCAATAAATCTCACCAATTAGTCTCCAAGAATCAATCTGTACTTAACTTGAGATACTGACTATTCAGTACCAATTCTTTCTGAGGTACATGGAGAAAATAATTGAAAAGCCTTTCCCTTGGTTTTGTTGCTGGCACTATTTTAGGGTTAAAGAAATGAATACAGCCCACCTTTTTCAAGCATGTTTCATGTCACAACAAACAGTTTAAAAAAAGTTTCCCTTAAAAAACATGCATGTAAGAGAGATAAGCAGTATTTGGTCCTAAAAATTTATGTTTAGCACTTAGACACCAGTAGGGAGAGCACTGAAAAGCTCTCAGTAAAAAGCTCTCTTCAGTGAATGGCATGGAATTGAAAACCCAGAGCCAGGTGCCCAACATAAGGCATGAGAAAGGTTAGACTGAAGGTTAGGTGATCCAAAAATCCGTATGCAAAGTTAGCCTCCAGGAAACATCAAATCTCATCTCCCAGGGCTTTCAGCACCAGCCTCATCACACACAAGGACCCCCACTTGCATCAGGTTTTGCCATGAGGGAGGAAGTGTTGGTGTCCCTCAACACCAAAGCAGAGACATGGAATGGGAGTCCTCTCTTCAAGTCTTCCCTTACACTGAGTGCTACAGATCCCTGAATTTCATGCCTCAGGAGGATGCTCAGTGTCCAAGGGACCTCTCTCTGTCCAGGCTCAAGCATCATGCAGCCAGGGCTAGACTTCTTGTGCCACCAAAGAAGACAAGGGGGAACTTACCACCCTCTCTAGAGGCCTTGCAATTAGAGCTGATTTCCCTCGGACAAACTATAAAATCGATAATTACACTTTTTTAAGTCCAGAGTTTAGTGATGCTAATCTTATTTGGGCTACAGTAGGTCCCAGAAGCCCCAGAAAGGACTCCAGTGTAGGAGCCACCAAAAACTTAACAAACGCGAGAGCAGAAATCAGAGGAAAGGAAACAAGTCCCAGATGGTCACACATCAGATGGTTATCCTACATCGTGTGAAGGCAATACACGTACCTGGAAATAGAAGAATGACAATATTAACTATTGTTATTCATTATGTACAGAACTATAAGATAGATGTAAATGTGACCCATTGCTCCTATACATGCCCTGATATCCAGGAGAGGTCTCTAAATCCTGACTTAAATACATCTGCTGAAAGTGATTCTTAGAGAGTTTGTTGATAGAAACTGTCTGCTCTAGTTGTACAATCACACTTATACTTTATATATTCCTCTGGACCGAACATGCAAAATTCCCACAGCTTTTTCTACTTTTAATTTTTAAGTGTTTTTTTATGCCTCTTTATTATATCATTTTTATTTGTCTCATGTATGCGTGTGAGTAAATTCCTCTATTATGAAGCCACTAAAAAAATGTTGCTACTTAAAGCTAGACATGTCAGGACTAGGGCAGAACTCTCTCCTACTGATTTGTTTATTTATACAGACACATGTAAACCTGGTTATTTAGAGCAGTGAGGTCTCAGTTAATATGAAGCCAGTAACACAGATAACTTACACTTTATATCACTATGAAGAGCAAACAACACAAATACATCTTGTTTCTGTATGATTGTGTCTAGTATAAGAGAAATATCATAGTGCCACTTAATCTCAAAGCCTATAGAGGACATGATGCAAAGAAAAGAAATTAGCAGGTACTGCTAAAATGTTCCTGAATAACCCTCTAACATTTCCAGTTATGAAAAGATTTATTGATCTTTTCCTAAAATAGTCTTCTTCAGCTGAAGTAGTTGAGACAGGCAGAATATAAGACATGAAGGAAAAAAAACCTTCCAGAAAAATTAATGTTCTCCTATCCAGCCCCACATGAATCCAGTGACAGAAAAGAGATTGACCTCATCATAAAAGGATGGAGGACTGGATATCATTATTCAAGTATCTTGTGCCCAAGGTAGGGGTGATGAAAAAGACTTGGTAAATTAGAAGTTAAAAAAGTGGGCCCAGATAGGTCATTTCTCCTAAATGTCTCTGAAAAGATGTGCATAGGAAACCTGTGAAGTGCGCACATTAAGCAAATCAATGTAAAGACACATTTGTGAGGTATTTGTGAGGTTAGCCATTTATATGCAAAATTATGTATTTTACATATTCAGAAAATGAATTTTCAGACCCTGGTTCCACAAGTTTTTCTTGAACAATTATTAAGGTGCTCTTTGGTACAAATTTTCCATCAGAACTTTCTCCTACTCTGCTTTAGTGTCTCCTCCTCCCAGTCCCCTTCCTTGCCAGACGCCTCCCCACCACCACCAGCAATAATCTGGCACAACAAAGGAATGCACTGATTATCAGAAATTAGACTGCTCAAAAAAAATAAAATAATTTCTGCTTCATAAAGCCTGGTTGAATTTAGGTCTTTCAAAACACTCTTTAAAACTCATTTCTCAGATCTACTTAAGTCACACACAGTTAATCAGAAAAGTGTGT